TCCCAGAGCGACTGCAAGAGGTTGATTCTGATTGAGTTGGTCTGTTGAAGATTACGTTTTTTGATAGCGTGAGCGATTTGTCGTTTTAAGTTAGATGTAGGGCATCGTTACAGCGTTTTAGCGTCAAATAGAGTGTACTTGTATGTTTTCTAAGAAGCGAAATCTTGCTTACCTCGACGTGATAATGCAAGAATCACACACAACCATCTGCAAAGAGTCAACGCGCTGGCTACAGCACGGGCTTCCTGGTGTCGTTCGACGAATAAATCGACGACAGAGTAGCAGTCATCTTGAAATGTCCACCTCCATACAAGTTAAAATACCGAGAAACCTTACCATGCTCAGACCAAGATGAAGGCGGGTCAGGCCAGAAGAAGATGTATATTCAGGATCGAAGGTTTCAAGCGTCGTTTAATTGGTTTAGTATGTGTTACCGACTGACTAGATAGCACTAGACTTGTTGATGACTCAATACATGCTAGCCAACCTATATGCCCACCAGAAACGCCTAGTTTCCTCAAACCAAAATGCCATGTTTGAGAATATGCAGATTATTCTGTGACAACTGGACTGATCTCTGGTATCTGGATTTCTACTTCGACTTTGTCCTCCGTTGCCTACTTCTCAACTGCTGGCCACTGGATCGTGGAGTTGCGTGATGCCTTGCTCGAAAGCTGCAGTGATTGGCCGAGAGACAGCATTCACTGATCATCCTCGTCCATCAACGCCAAACACTCCAACTCTGTCCTTACAATCCTCTCGAACTCCTGCCTCTCAATGCCCGCCACCCTAGCCAGGCGGTACAAACTCTTGACACTCGTCCCAATATGCTGTTTAATGCCCACCTCGCTCTGCTCCCTCACGGCGTGGTCCAAAGCCCTCTTCTCGAGTTTAGCCACTGTGTCGCTTCCACTGCTGCCTGTACTGCTTCCTGGTCTGGGGTGTGCGAGACCTTCGATTTCGTGGGGAGATTGTGAGGTGTTTCTGTTTACGTAGAATGCTTGGTCGTCGGGGTGGCCTTCTGACCATGCTGCTGAGGTGTCGTGTAGTTCTGGGTCTGTATGTTGATGGGAGAGGTGCTGTTGTAACTCTGTCGTGATCTCGTCTTTGCCTAATGAGGACTCAATGGCGCCGTTCTGCTCTGCTTCGTCTGGATCGTGGTTATCCATTGCGGGCTGCACCGAGGCATATTGTGCATAGTATGAGGCTTCTTCTTCTGCGGTTTGAGTTTCTCCTCCTTGTCCATCAACAGCCATGGCTTGAGGAGCAGGCGAGTGCTTAGGCGCTGGTGTTCGCGCAGGAGTGTTGTCGTATTGAGCCCAGTAATCATCATCGTCCTCCTCTTCTTCCGCTTCAGGTGTAAGGAGGCTGTTTGTGCCATTGGTGCGATTATAAGCGCTCAGATGATTGCTGTGCCCATTCTGGCTTTGATTCTGTGCCCGCGCAGCCTCAAATGCGCGCTCTGCGTCTGGAATGCTGCTCTGTCCCCATGTCTCTTTACTCTCGCTGCCCAGAACGTTGACCTCCCCAATCCTCCAGCCGTCTCCCCCACCCATCTCATCGTTCACACACCATATCAGCTTGACTCCTAGCTCGATGTCCGGTATTGAGATGAGACATTGTAGTGTTTCTTCATCGTTGCGCTTGTATCTTGATTGCACGCTGTCCCAGTCGAGCTCTACTTCTCCAGAGACAGGGTGGGGTTCGAAAGCTTCGTGTTTGACGACAGACTCGAGTTTCGAAGCGTTAGAACTGTCATAGCAGAGGAGGGGAAGCCAGGGCTCGGAGGCTGTCGAGGAGAGGATTTGGACTCGCTGTCGTAGGATTGGAGAGAGAATTGGGAGGAGGGCTGTCGGTGGTGAGGGAGAGATGGTAGCTGCTGGGAGGGAGGCCAGGAGCGGTGCGAGGACCTGCTCTGTTCGTGGAGGAACGATTGGTGCCTGCATCGTGTCGAGAGAGGTGTTGTGGTTGAGAATGGGGTTGCGATCACATGCCAATTCTGCAAGCCAATAGAATGTCAACAAAGAGATAGGATGGAGATATAAGCAGCAACAGCAAGATCAAATGTCAAGGCTGCATTGGTTGCAAGAGCAGAAAAGGGAAGTTGGTAGGATTTGGTAGAGCGGTGGTGTATGAGAGAGAAAACGAAAGAGAGAAACAGAGGCAGTTTGTGATGCCTGTCCGGTGACTTCCTTGAGGTGGAGGGTCTGTACGACTTTCCATCCGTCCGAATTTGGCGAGCTTTTTGCCGCTCGGTGGAAAGCATGCTTGTTCTGGAGACCTAGCGGGGGATATCCCACCGAAATGAATTGAACCTTGCTGTGTGTGAGATTGAGGCTGTATAAAGTGGGGTGCTTATCTTTGAGGTGTAATCGCTTAAAGCATTTGAAAAGTGGTTGATGGAAACATTTTCAAAGCTATTGACTTGATCGGCGACTTTTGGTTTGTGAGGCTGAAGCCCCTCCTTGTGGCTGGTGTGAAGATCAGCCACTTCAGACGAGATGTGGCTTGAACGGCAAATTTAAGCACGATCCGGCTCGACTTCCCTCATCTCATGGTTCCTTGTCAGTTCTGTGCCGAGCCGACAACACCACTCCACTTCGCGGCTTCAACATCATCTTTCTCCTTTTCTCCATGCGCAGCACCATGTCAGTTCTGGTCAACCATATCACCTCGACATAGCACAACAAGACCCTCTTCCTGCGACGTATACTTCTACTTGTCACATCGGCTAGCTATCCTGTCGGATCTTTTCAGCCTCTGGAACAGCTCCATCACATCTTTCACGTGGTCCAATCACACGATCCCCTTGAATGGAAGGCCTCTGCCGAAGCACAAGACGCCTGTTTGTTACTCGGCTGACATCCAAGCAAGCCAATAAGACTATCAGAAACTTCTCGAGTTCGGTTTGTCAACATCGTTATGATGGACAAACATGTCTTACTCGACGGCCGACTGCATTACCGAAAAGGTCTCGGGACGGTGCATCGCAAGCTCGATACCAATCCAGTCAAGAAGCTGTGTCCCAGCGCTCTTCGCAATCAAGAGATTCGCCAAACGCTTCGAACTTCGTTCGTGAATCCCGTAGTGTCACAAAAGAAGAATGGCAAACTATGGAAAGTCCTGATGGCATCCCTGACATGAACCTCGAGTATGTCAAAATTGGCGACACCCCCGGAGGTTTTCACCCAGTCTTCCTACGAGATGCTTGTACTTGCCCTAAATGTGTCGATCCGTCATCAACGCAGAAACAATTTCAAACCACCGACATTCCTCGAACCATCAGAGCAAACTCAATTGAGAAACGTGAGAATGGGGATTTCGCCATCACGTGGGAGAACGATATCCCTGGATTTGGACCAGATCATGTTTCCACCTATTCGACGAAGTTCTTCGATATTTGTGATTTCAGATCTGCCAGACTACAAGACCGTTCTGAACATGTCCGACCTCGTCTATGGAACAGATTTCGAATCGAGGAAGAACTCCAATTCGTTAACTTCGCTGACTATATGGAAGATGATAAGCAGCTTTTCCGAGCTTTGTTCCAGCTGCAGACTCGCGGGCTTCTTCTGCTTCGCAATGTTCCCGAATCAGAAGAATCTGTCGCGGAGATTGCCGGTCGTATCGGGACCATTCGAGACACCTTCTACGGACGAACGTGGGATGTCAAATCAGTAGCCCAGGCTAAGAACGTGGCATACACCCACCAATTCCTCGGCCTCCATATGGACCTTTTATATATGACGAACCCTCCTGGATTTCAGTTATTGCACTGCCTGAAGAATACCTGCAAAGGTGGCGCATCCTTGTTTAGTGACTCATTCTATACTATCCACGGCATGTCACCATTAGATCAACAGGTGCTATCTACTACAGACCTAGCTTATCATTATCGTAATGCCGGAGAGCATTACTATTATGAGCGTCCTCTGTTGGAACTTGATAGAACCACGGTTCACACCAAACACGGCAAACAAGCAGCCGTCAAGTTTGTCAATTACTCTCCACCGTTTCAAGCACCTTTCCCAGTCACCAAGAACTCGCAGGGAAATGTCTTCCCCAAAGTCGCGAGAGCGCTGCGGACCTTCGCTGATCGAGTCGAATCACCGCGCAACTTGTTCGAATACAAAATGAAAGAAGGCGAATGTGTCATCTTCAACAACAGAAGAGTGTTACACGGCCGTCGCCAATTCGACGCCGGCAAGGGAGAGAGGTGGTTGAAGGGCACGTATGTTGATACGGACGTATTCAAAAGCAAATGGCGAACTCTATTCGAGAATTACAGTGTCACGGATGATCCTCGAAAGGGTGGTCAATATGTGTTTCCGGGAAAGTTGGAGGCGGGTGCTGCGTATAGAGCTGCGAAGGCTGAATCGAAGACGGCAACGGAAGTAAGCTCTTGAAAGGCCGACAGGGAGGATCATGCAGGTAGTTGATTGAATAGTCCTGCAAAGATGTGTGACTAGAAGATATCGGACATTTTGAGTTGGCGATATTGTAATATAAATGAAGCCAATTATCTAGTTGTATTCGCATCCAGCTGGGGCAACTCAACAGGATATTGGCTCGATGCAAGAACGTAACAGAATTACCTGAATCGCATGTACTATATCATATCCTTCATCCGCTTTATAATCAAAACAGCAAACTTCAAACCTATAGAACGGTTCAAGAGCCCAAAAGTTATCTATCGATTTTGAAAATGCCCCTCCACCCACGCCAGAGTCCACAGCCTCGCTAAACACAAGCCCCTCCCCAAGCCGGGCCGAGTCAGCACCCACAAAAACAGCATCAAAATAGAGAGAGACGAAGGCAAAAGAAATATCTTATTGAAAAGTATGCCAAAGAGTATGTATGATAACAAAGCCAAAGAAAAATAACAGCACCTTCCTCCCCTTCCACCCTGCCTCTTTCTTTGCCCACAACCCAAAAGCCAAAAGCCCCCAAAAAAATTGTTCGAATTATAACCCGGGTTAGATTCCCGGATTCGCAGATGATGCGGCTTCTGTGGATCGAACACAGTGCCTCCAGATAAACTTTTTTTCAAGTTAATGATCTGAAGTGGACTTCAGTCTGGCGCTCTCCCAAGTGAGCTAAAGCCGCTTGGTTGTTTGGGGTGTTGTGATTTGCTGGATTCTGCTTATTTGGGTAACTATGAGGGATAGTGATTTAGAGGGAAATTGAATTTTTTGACGGAGGGAAGTGGAGTCGGTGATTGGTTGGAGGAGGGCAGATGTGGAAAAATGTGGAGTGAGGACAGGATTTGATTTTGGCCCAGGCCGGATCGGAAAGAGCTGCAGATGCTGAAGTGGAGACTAGAGTTTGTGGTTTGAAGGACAGGGGTAGCTGGAGGAGGGCACTAAAGAGGTGCTTCAAGCTTTGAGGATGACTGCATGAGGGGCTTGTTGTTGAAGTTTGACTTAATATCTTCTTTTCAAATACCTGTAGTATATTTATTGTATGGTCTTTCTCATCATATCCAACTTCTTGATAATCTCATGTCCCATAAGCCTTCTCACCAACCTTTCCCCCTCTTTTTGTTCCGCCTGCCTGCTTCCTCTCGATAACTTCTCTCAGGACCTCCTCAAGTCTCTGAACAGCCTCCTCTCCAATCTGGTAATGTACCACCAGTCTCGGACCTAAGAACCTCAGTCCATGTTTACTTCCCATCTCGACAAACTCATCATCTGAAATCCCCGCATCATCAAGATCAAACCACACCATATTCGTTTCCGTAGGTTGTGTAAGCTTCCCTCCCATCCCAGTCCATATGCCCGCGATCCTCTTCGCCATGATATGACTTCCTTTCAACAAGCCCCCTTCACCATTTGGACCCTTCCCAAACGTCTCATCAACAGCTATCCTTGCCGTAGCAGTAACAACGCCAGATTGTCTCAAGCCCCCTCCGATACTCTTCCTCACCCACCTCGCATGCTTAATGAACTTCTCCTTTCCAACAAGTATACTTCCAATCGGTGCACCCAAGCCCTTTGAAAAGCACAAACTCGCACTATCAAATTCCTTCGTATATTCCGATAGAGATCCCGCCCCCGCAACAACAGCTTCCCATATCCTAGCCCCATCAAGATGCATCTTAATCCCGTGTTCCCTTGCAAACGCTGATATCCGCCTGACTTCTTCTAACGGCATGATCGTGCCACCAAGTGTATTTTCCAGACTTATAACCCTCGTCGGACACCCATGTATCTCATCTCCCAGAACAACATTCTTCTTGACATCTTCCAACGTCAAGTACACTCCATTCTTCGGCACAACGCCCTTGACCAAAGCTCCGGACAGCGAAGCCACGCCGCCAGCTTCCCATTCTAGGATATGCGCTCTGTGATCGCAGAGTACAGAGTGAGGAGGTTGAGTGAGATGTGTTCGTAGCGCGAGTTGGTTACCCATTGTGCCAGAGAGGACGAACAGCGCGCTTTCGTGGGAGGTGAGTGTTGCGAGGTGCGATTCGAGGGAGAGGGTTGTGGTGTCTTCCGCGAAGACGTCGTCAAGAAGGGTGGTGTTTTGAATAGCGCGGAGCATGGAGGGTGTGGGTGTTGTTACTACGTCGCCTTGAAGGTAGTGATGTTAGATTGCTGTGTGTTGGAAGAAGATAACAGAGATTGAGATGTAATAGACGGACTTCTGAAGTCAAATGCTGCTGGTCCTGGACCAGACCAAGCAGTGGGCTTTGATGTGCCATTGGTATTCGTTTCTTGCGACATCATGATTGAGCGTTGAGAGAAGGATCTCTGTGGCTGTTTGGAAAGATAGCTCGAGGTTAGAGGAGGGTATCGAAAGTTAGGATGATATATCGAAACTAGATGGTATTCAGCAGATAACTTCAAGATGGAATTGTTAATTACTCACTGGAAGGAGAGCCTCTCACGGCGCGCCTCGCCACGGGACTGGCTCTCCTCAAAAGCATCTTGAATGGCGGGGTCAATGGCACAGGGAATGAGTTGCACTAAAGAGGGAATCCGGACCTTGGTCAACCATATTCTTATCGTATTGCCGAGATGGATATTCTTATCGACACGTGCTGTTCAGGGGTAAAATTAATTAGCCGAGGGATCGGATCGTATCAGCGTTCGGACCGGAATGTTCCATGTTTGGATAGGAAGCGGAGGATATTCTGCTTTGAGGAATTTTACCGTTTATCCGGGGAGAAGAAAGAAAAAAGCAAAGTTGCGACGTGCAACAAAAAGCTGTGGCACGGAGTGAGGTTGAGTCCTGGATGATGAGTGGTCGGCGGTGCCTGTCAGATCTCGGATTACTGATGTTGTGATGAAACTGGTTTACCAATGATATTGCTGGAGGGCTCCAAGGCTGCCATTCACTGTATTGGCGAGTGACTCGATGAGCAAAAATCAGGTAACAGACTCTCATCTCTTGATGTCCAGTATGAAGATGTCGAGAACCAACAAATCGAAGCCGAAGAAACCCTGGCAAGATGTTGCTAAAGAAGCTCAGGAGTTGAGGGACGAGAGTCTTTTGCGAGTTCCAGGCATCGATGATGTATTTGAACATGATATATTCTCCGGAGGCCTGCCCAAGAATGTGACGGCCATTCCTAGCTTGGTTTTGAATCAAAGAGATATCCAGATAACTGATTCTTTGCCGGAAGAATTGGTCAAGATACTTGCAAGCGGCCAATTAACCGCCACGGACGTCACACTGGCATTTCTTAGGAGAGCAGCTGTCGCTCAGAGACTCGTAGCTATCCCTTTAAATCCGTGAAATTATAGCATCTGATATCCAACAGACAAACTGCATCACCGAGCTCCTTCCCGAACGCGCTCTCAGCCGAGCCAAAGAACTCGATAAGTACCTCTCTCGCCACGGGAAACCAGTCGGTCCTCTTCACGGCCTTCCCATCAGCGTGAAAGAAATGATCGGGATGAAAGATCTCGGTCTGAATGCAGGCTATGTAGCTTGGTGGGGTAAGAGAGCCGATGAAGATGCTCATGTTCTGCAGATTCTGTGGAATGCAGGCGCGGTCTTCTTTGCTAGGACGACGCAGCCGCAGACTATGATGCATCTGGAGACGGAGAGCAACTTGTATGGGGTTACCGTGAATCCTTGTAACGGCCTTCTGTCTTCTGGTGGAAGTAGTGGTGGAGAGGGAGCTTTGATAGGCATGAGGGGTAGCTGTTTGGGAATTGGGAGTGATATTGGTGGTAAGTCGAACACATCACTTGACAGTCATTCTCTGACACTTTCTTAGGAAGCATCAGAAGCCCGGCAGCCAATTGCGGCATATATGGATTCAAGCCTACTGCTTTCCGCATTCCAACAGATGGTTGGTGTTCGACTATGGCAGGTGCTGATCCCATTCCTGGAGTCATCGGTCCAATGAGTACAAGTCTCGAAGGCATTAAACTCTTCATGCAAGTCGTGATAGACTCTCAACCATGGCTGCTGGAACCAGCACTCATTCCCATCCCATGGAATTCTTCTATTTATATAACCGCAGATCATTCACTCAGAATTGGAGTCATGTGGAATGATGGTGTAATAACTCCTCATCCACCGATAACCCGAGCGATGAAAGAACTCGTCTCTCACCTCCAAAAGGTACCAAACATTGAAGTTGTAGATTGGACTCCGTACCTCCACGATGAAGCCTGGGCCATAATCTCAAGTTTATATTTCACAGACGGTGGTGCAGAAAACGCAGCTACCATTGCTAATCCCGTGAACCGTGGCTGCCGCTTACTGAATGGATCATCAAGCAGAACCCATGTGTCAAGAAACTCTCTCCGCAGAAACTTTACTACTGGCAGGAAGAGCGAGAAGCTTATCGAAAAGAATATGCAAAGGTGTGGACGGATACTGCGACAAGCGCCGACGCGATTGGAAGGAAGACCGGAATGGTTGATGTGATTCTTTGTCCAGTCGGTCCTGGTGTTGCCCCTAAACACAATACCTCAAGATATTGGGGATATACGAGCCAGTGGAATCTGCTGGATTATCCTGCTGTGACTTTCCCTGTTAGTAGGGTTGATGGCAAGACAGACGTCGCAAGAGGAACTTTCAAGCCGATGACCGATGTAGACGAAGAGCACTGGAAGCTCTGTAAGTTACCTCCACTGGCGGAAGAATAACTGTTGACTTGGACAGATGATCCGAACGAATTCGATGGCCTTCCCATCTCGTTGCAGCTAGTTGGGAGGAGGTTCGAGGATGAGAAAGTCATTGCTGTCTTGCAATATCTGAAGCAGGTCGTTTCACTTCCCATGCCTTGACCTTGGTCGATCTCTGAAGGCGAAAACAGCGATCTCGACGCATGTAACATTGGAAAACATCGCCACTTACCAAGATAATCTGATCACTCGTATCGACGAGCCTCAAAGTCACGCGCCGTCAGTGTGCATGAGTTCGGACGGTGTGGCCTACGAGTTCCTGCGACGTCAATGTTGTCGTGAAACTCCTCTCTAGCCAATCAACGCGCTCCGGAATGTTAACCGACGATGAAAGTCTGGAGCCGAAGCCGCCGATCAGATCAAGTTGAGATGTGCCGAGTGCCACCAGGATGTCGCAGGTTTTCATCGGCAAAATGCAGTTCAGGAGTCGATCAAACACTACCGGCACCAAGCCATCTTTACCGGCTCCCGAGACATGAGATGATGGTTCCCAAGACCCAGCATCACCTTGCACGAACGGCTGATATGTACCCCCAAGACCTGTCAAAGCTGGCATGACAAGTCGACTGTTGGGACGAGCGTACTGCCTATATGGAATCTAGTGCTAAGCGTTTGACGATGTGGTCGATGAATCGGTGATGGAACAGGTGACGACCCCACTGAATTAATTCTGGATGAACGTGTTGGGGCTGAAAGGATGGATGAGAGAGTACGCACGTATATATGAGTGCGCCTGGAGCACGTAAGACTCCAAACATCTTTCATCACAATCCAATTCGCCTTTCATACTTTCTGTCTCTACCAAACGACCCGGCGTCGTCTTATTTCCTACACTCTCACTTACATTATTTTTAATACTTGAAACGTTCTTTCAAATTCCAAACTTTCAGTCAAAATGGTTCGCATCACTTTCACTGTTGTCGTCGCTTGTAAGTTCATCCCATAATTGCGTGTTTGAGG